GAACTGTTTACACTGCTCCTAACAGGTATTATTATTCCAGACCTAGTCCTATGGATATCCTTCATGAAGAAGACTTTCTCCATAGCCAGAAATCATACCACAGTAGAACCATTTATGAATGGAATATTGATGGTCTTTCAGAATACTAGATATTTGAGGTACTTCAGCATATGCCCATGTTTGCAACAGTGTGCAAGCAGAATGAGAATATTGACCACCAAGTTGCTAGATTTATTGTTAGTGGTTTTATAGGACTACTCAAAGGATGGTGGGATAACATCCTTAGTACAACTCAAAATAATGAAATCCTAGGCTCTACTAGGGTTAAGATTGATCCAGATACTAGGGCAGAATCTACTGAACAAGATGCTGTTTACACTCTGGTAAACACTATAGTTCTCCACTTTATTGGTACTGTAACAGGTATTGAAGATCGTAGTAGAGAACTATTACAGAAATTAAGATGTCCATCTTTATCTCATTTTAGATGGTATAAAAATGTCTTCCTGATGAAAGTATATCGCAGAGCTAATGCCAATTCAGATCATTGGAAAGCTAAATTCATTGACGGTCTTCCTACTCTTTTTGCTGAAAGAGTCAGAAAGAAGTTATGAGATCGTCACAATCAATTAGCTATTCCATACAATAGAGATACCTATGGTCAACTCGTAGGTATTATCACTGATGAAGGACTTGCTTTATGCAATGATCTTAAATTACAGCAACAGATGAAACAACAACATCTTACAGGAAGAAAAGAATTAAGCGAATTCTGCGAACAATTTGCCTATGATACAAAATTACAGTATCCTCAAAAACAGAAAAGGCATAAAATTGGAAAATCTCCAAAATATCATTCTAGGAGATACAGAAAACATAAATATGTTAAAAACCAAGTCCAGCAACAACCACCATCTAAAGGAAAACAAAAATCTTTCAGGAAAAAATCCAAATCTACAGTTAAATGCTACAAATGTAGACAGATAGGACATTATGCTAACCGTTGTAAGTCAAAGATACAACAAAAGCTAAATGAACTATCACTAGATAATGAAATCCGGCCGCAGATTCTCAGAATGCTTTCTGATGAATCAGATACTTCTTCAGATACTTCTTCAGATAATGAGGATGAGATTGCAGCACTTTATTCTTCAGATTCTGACACTGAATCTGAAAACTCTCCAGAAATTTGTGATTGCAAAACAAATCTTAATCAGATTTCCGATGAAGTCAACTATTGGAAAACTATAGTTGAAATAAATGGACTTGATATTGGAGGACCCAGTATCAATCTTCTTACAGAAGATGAGCAAAATATGATTAATATTGCTGATCAAATTTCTAATCCAGAAATGAAATTAAAATTCTTAGAATTATGTTTACAGCAACAGAAGCAGCAAGAAATTCTTCCTCCTTAGAACTACAGTATGAAAGAAGTTTTTCAAAGACTTCAACCTGTTACTGTTGAAAAATCTCTAACAATCTAGGATTTAAAAATGGAAGTCAATGCTTTAAAAGTTGAAATTAAACATTTACAAACTTCCAATATTGCTATTAATTCTGAAATAAAAAAGATTAATAGTCAATTACAAAACAAAGAAAAAGGGATAATTATCAATGAACCCGCTTCAAAATCCACTCCAGACTCAAAAGAGCTTGATTATCTCATGCTTATGAACACAGCAACCTTTCAGAAATGATATATCAAAATTACCTTGATGATAAAACCTGATTTTATCATAAAAGATGCTATTGCTTTTGTTGATAGTGGTGCTGATATGAATTGTATTAAGGAAGGATTAATTCCTACTAAATACTTTCATAAAACAACTCAGTCACTTACAAGTGCAAGTGGCAATTCTTTATATATCCAGTATATACTTCCTGAAGTTTTAATCTGTAACTAAGGATTATGACTTCCCACTTCATTTGTTCTTATCAAGAACATGTCGCAGGCCATAATTCTTGGAACACCATTCCTATGTTTATTAATGGCCCTGTTTGGTACAGCTTAATTTCAGCTTATTTAAGCTTTCAGCTTAATTTAAGCTATTTTGATGTATTTGGTTTAGCTTATAGCTTATAGCTTATAGTTTTGTGGAAGTCAGAAAACAACTTATTCTTTGAGTGGGGCAGGAGATGCTTTAAGAATAAGCTGGAAATCAGCTTAAGCTGAAAGTTATAAGCTATAAGCTGTTTAGGCATAAGTTATAAGCACTTTCCCACAGCTCTACCAAACAGGGCCAATGCCAATCACTAAAATTGATTCCATAGGCATTCATACAACCCTAAATAATCAGCCGATTATTTTTGAGTTTATTACAGAACCATATACGAAAGAGTTAGATCAGATTAAAGATCTAGTTAATTTCAAAGAAAAACAAATTAATTTTTTACAAAAAGAAATTAGTTTTCATACTACAGAACAAAGACTTCAACAGTCTTCTTTCCAGCAAAAAATCAAATCACTTAAACAAGAATTTCAACATGAAATCTGCAGTGATATTCCAAATGCTTTCTGGAATAGGAAGAAACACATAGTTTCTCTTCCTTATGAACCAGGTTATGATGAGCGTAGGTAACAACCAAACTGCAGAGGAAAAAAACGGAACAAGCAGACCTAACACCAAAACTAGGCAGCAGACTACACAACATATGGACAACCACAGCTGACTGATCAGCATATACAGCTAGCAGACTACACAATTTGGGGCACTTCTCTCCTGAATCTAGCAGATCTAACACCAAAACTATGCTTCAAATTTGCACCAACATTATCACCAAAACTCAGCACAGATGCAAAGTTGGATGAAGTCTCCAGGAGCCCAGATGCAGAAACTACCACCATACCATACCTTATATCAGTATAACCACACCACACAGATGCAGACCCAACAGCAATAGCAGACCTCGGCAGTCCACTCCAAACTTTGTAGACAGGTTGAACAGATCCTTAACACAGTGAACACACCAGCATTTCCTCTTGACCTCCATGGTCCTGATCTTCCTCTACCCTTCACGACTGGTATCCACAGTGAACACGCCAGCACAGATCACTACTGCAGCCCTATAATCATTCTGCAAACTCAGAAAAAGAACAACACAGTGAATGAACTCCAGTCAGGAGCCCAGCCGACAGAAGAACCCCAACAGAAGACAGGAGACAGAGTATGCTGGTATGAATTGTATTAAGGAAGGATTAATTCCTACTAAATACTTTCATAAAACAACTCAGTCACTTACAAGTGCAAGTGACAATTCTTTATATATCCAGTATATACTTCCAGAAGTTTTAATCTGTAACTAAGGATTATGACTTCCCACTTCATTTGTTCTTATCAAGAACATGTCGCAGGCCATAATTCTTGGAACACCATTCCTATGTTTATTAATGCCAATCACTAAAATTGATTCCATAGGCATTCATACAACCCTAAATAATCAGCCGATTATTTTTGAGTTTCTTACAGAACCATATACGAAAGAGTTAGATCAGATTAAAGATCTAGTTAATTTCAAAGAAAAACAAATTAATTTTTTACAAAAAGAAATTAGTTTTCTTACTACAGAACAAAGACTTCAACAGTCTTCTTTCCAGCAAAAAATCAAATCACTTGAACAAGAATTTCAACATGAAATCTGCAGTGATATTCCAAATGCTTTCTGGAATAGGAAGAAACACATAGTTTCTCTTCCTTATGAAACAGGTTATGATGAGCGGAAAATCCCAACCTGCGCTCGACCAAGTCAAATGAAGAAAGAGTATTTAGAGCTCTGTAAATCAGAAATTAATACTCTTCTCCAGAAAAACCTTATTCGTTCCAGTATATCTCCCTGGAGTTGTACTGCCTTTTATGTTAACAAAAATGCCGAAATTGAACGAGGTGTGCCAAGATTGGTCATTAATTACAAACCTTTGAATGAAGCCTTACAGTGGATAAGATGTCCAGTTCCCTAATAAAAAAGATCTTTTAGATCGCCTCCTGGATGCAGTGATATTTTCTAAATTTGACATGAAATCAGGAGATTGGCAAGTCCAAATCACTGAACAAGATAGATACAAAACTGCTTTTACAGTACCCTTTGGACATTTTGAATGGAATGTTATGCCATTTGGATTAAAAAATGTACCTTTTGAATTCCAGCATATTATGAATGATATCTTCCATCCTTATACAGAATTTTCCATTTGTTACATTGATGATGTTTTAATTTTTTCCTCATCAATTGACCAGCATATGAAACATCTTAATATTTTTAAGCATGCTATCATTAAAAATGGATTAGTAGTTTCTGCATAAAAAATGCAACCTTTTCAAACCACAATCCGATTTTTGGGTCATAATATCCATAATGGTACTATTATTCCCATTAATAGAAGCATGGAATTTGCATATAAATTTCCAGACGAAATTAAAGATAAAACCCTATTACAGCGATTTTTAGGAAGCTTGAATTATATCCATGATTACTATCCTAACCTTGCTACTGATGCAGCAATCTTATATTCCCGACATAGAAAAAATCCTCCAGAGCATATAGAAGCTGTCCAGAAAATTAAGACTAGAGTAAAAACTCTACCTTGTCTTTCTTTACCACATCCAGAATGGAAGAAAATTGTTGAAACCGATGCCTCTAATCTTGGTTATGGTGGCATACTTAAACAATTTAATCCCAGCAGTAAAAAGGAAGAACTTTTAAGATTTACTTCTGGTATTTGGCATCAAGCTGCTAAAAATTATCCGACAATTAAACAAGAATGTTTAGCTATTGTTAAATGTGTTTTAAAATTTCAGGATGATTTATTAAACCAACATTTTTTGATCCGAGTTGATTGTTCCGCAGCAAAACAGATTTTTAAAAAAGATGTTAAAAATTTGGCTCAAAAACAAATTTTTGCCACATGGCAGGGCCAACTTTCAGTATTTGATTTTGATATTGAATATATCAAAGGAGAAACTAATTCTCTTCCTGACTTTCTAACCCGCGAATATTTGCAGGGTCCAAACAATGTCCAGTAGAGGCCGCGGCCCGGGCAGACGGGGCCGAGGAAGGGGTTCCAATCCCTATCATACAGACTTTCCAGGCTTACATGCCTTTTCCAGTAAAAAAGGGGAATCTAGCCGTACAGCTAAAGATGTCCTCCTTACTTCTCCAGTACCTTATGTCCAGAATTTTATTATTGAGGAGACCGTCCTCTATATTGAAAATTCCGATATTCAATGGATGAACAGGAACAAATTTGTCTTTTGGCTACAGCCGTTAGGCCACCCTCTCTAGCACAGTAGATCATGAGACCATATATGGCATAATTAAGATAAAATAAAATAAAACTATAATTAATGTTATTCCTGGGTTTGTGCTTAATGATGGGTAGTACAAAGTTAGGGTTAGTGGGACGTCATTCAAGTCGCGTAGAGTCAGACCGTTAGCAGTGATTGCGGTTAGGTCATTCTCGTAAGTCGTTGACAGACGGGCTAGCTTTAGTTTGATTTGTTTTCTATCTAAATCATTTGTGTATTTTTTAAAGTAAAATCAATAAAAAATTTAGTATTTTAGTCATTAAACTCAAAGAAAAATATATTTTAGACATTTTATGTATACTTACATTGATTTTAATGACTAAAATAATATTTTTTGGGTCAATTTCACTTAATGAAAATATACAAATAGTTTAAATTAATAGATTATAATTTAAATTGATAAAATTAAAAATTCAAGATTTATTTTGTTAAAATGCTAAAACCTTGCCTTTTGTTGTAGTTGTTGTTGTTGTTGTAATTGTCCTTATTTTCTTTTACAATTCACACCACATAATCCTATAATACCCTTATCATCTAACCTATCTCTAACACTAACCAACCACCACTGACTGCAACCCTTTCCACTACCGATGCTGCCTTTTCTGTCATTCTTTGCCACACTCTCTCTATCCCAACCCCCTCCATTTCCCTACGCCACCGTTGTCAAGGAGAATAACACTATACAAATTATTGAAAATATAAAAAAATAGGTAAATTACACTAACTTGTCCTTAGGTTCGGGAAAACACAGTGAGCCTACACTTTTTGACATAATTACAATGATTTTCTTTGACATTTTAATTCACATAGCAATTAAATCATTTTTTACCAGTAATTTGTGAATTGTATGAATAAAAAAGAATAATATTGTCATCTGTACAAGCAAGAAATAATCTTCTCGTATAATCTTGTTGATCAAGTCTGCGCTCCTCCAAACGACGTCGCTTTACTCCTTGAAAACACAAACGTGAGCTAGCCGGTGGGTGTGTGTCAGATACCTGTCCGATGCCTAAGTCAGCAAAATAGACAAATAGACAAAAGCTCTGTGTATTCGAGAATCAAAGTTGTGTTACCTTTCCATAGGTGATGTTGTGAGCTTTTATGGGTTCCGTGTGGCGCAATCCTAGTAGGACTCTTATCTCGCCGTGCAGAGTCCTCTTAGGAATTACTCTCCTAAAAGATAATGCTTATCTTTCAACACCCCCCTCACTGCTTAAACCAAGTGAGATAGTCCTAACTCGGTGGTATATCCAAACGACCGAGCTAGCATTGCCATGGCACAATGACAATGTAACCGAGCTAACAATACTCATGTTGCATTTATCCCGGCACTTTATGTGTAATATGTACCTCGGCTTCGCCTGTAGATCGTGTTAACCATTGCGTACTTGGACCGAGCTACTCAACAGCAAGGTCCTGAGTTGAAGCCAAAAATACCTCGGCTCAAGATGGTTTGACCGAGCTAACTGTCACCGCGCCGACCGTAGTGACCGACCTAACCACCAAGCTCTCTCAGACCGGGCTATCTGTAAGGCTCCTCTGGACCGGACTAATTACAAGGCCCTTTTACTTGGCCCTTCTTACTGTGGCCCACAAAATGACCCATTACCCAGCTCGGCCCAATTTACATATAAATTACCCTCTCAATAATGTATAAAATTTTAAATCCCAAATCCTAAATCTTAAATCATAATAATTGTAATAATCCTAGACCCTAAACCCTAATAATCTTAATTACCCTAAATCTAAACTCGAAATTCAGGATATCTGTATTATATTCAATGTCAATGTCATACATTTTATCTGAAAAAATGATAAAATGTTATATTCAGTTCACACTATTTGTCTGACAAAATCGACAAGATTGTTCGTGTCATTTAAAATTTGTAAAGAAAATAGCTATAATTTCATTAAATTTGTGGAGAGATCGCTTCATGTGAAATTCTACTATACACACCCCTTGAAAGTAGCATACCATATGTACCCTTAGTTATATCATTTTCTTCTTTACTTATAACCAATTTTTATTTTTTATTTTTTTTTATTATGACATTATTTTAGTTAGGACTCATGAGATCTTTGATTTTGACTCATATAGAGTTTGATTAGAAAATATAGAATTATGCCATTTTCTTACTTACTTATAAGGTACATATAATACATACTTTTTACCAATATATCTGTTGATTCATATGTTTTTTAAGGCGGAATTATCTTGTCTAATTAGGCTGTGTGCCCTTCCAATTCTAATTGTCTTGTCTAATTAGGTTGTGTGCCTTTCCAATTCTATCAGTTGCTTTATGTAATACATAGAAGAGAAAATAAGAAATAATAAGTATGTAACTAATAAAATTTTAAGGACATAATAGGTAGGATATGAGATGGACGTATGTAATAACTTCTTTTTTTTTAGGGTGCAATTTTGTTAAGTTTGAGAAGAACACCCCCCATCCCGGGTCCTATATATTTCCCACCTGTATTTGTTGCCCTAGATCGATCGTTTATCTCTGTCAGTGTTGAACCAACGGTCCTCTCGCTCTAGCCGCCTCTCCCTCCGAACCACCCTCCCATCGAACCCGTTTGTTGCCCTATATTTCTCTCTGTCGGTGATCCTGTCTCACCAACAATGGTCCTCCCTGTCCCGCTCGAGTCGAAAAATTGCCGCTGGGATTCAAGTCCCAACTAGCACAAACCCTAATTCATCGGCGAGAAGCATCAGTAGATTCAACCACCACTACCACCGCGGTCCTCCTCCTCCATCGTAGCTCTCACAGGTATTCCCTTCTCTCTCTCTCTCTCTATGCATATATATACACACTGTATTTCTAGTCTAATATATGCTGTGATTTTTGTAATATTTTGTCCCCCTTTCTCTGTAATGTGTATGAAAATATAGATCCTAGATCTTGCTCATAACGATTCCTTTCTTTTGATTCACAATCTTCTCAATCTAATAAATATGTCGCTGATTTGCTCCCCAAGAATTGGCAATTGCTCTGGTTTTTTTGTTCTTCTGTTGCAACTTCCCTTCACTGTTGAACAGTAAGAGAGCCAAGAATAATTAGGGTTTCTGTGTGTGTTAATTATTATTATTATTATTTTTTGTTTGATTGTGAATTTGTAATCCTAGGTTCTATTCATGATTATGAATGCGTATTCTATTGATAGATTATATTTCTAGGTTCCTAACACTGGCCATGCTGATGAGGAATAGCAGTGCAACGCTAATTGCCTTTGTGATTAGATTAGATGTTTTGTGGTTGGAGTTGTGCTGGAATATTTTCCTTTCTTTTTCTAGTTGCTTGACTGATTATGATTTGAAACCAAGTTACCCATGCAGAGCTTCATCAATTTTTTTTCTTCTTTCTGATATATATATGAAATATGTGTATATTTATGTACATGTGTATATATATATATTGGATCACTACATCTACAAAAACATCTCATAAGAAATATTGTCGCTTAGACACCAAATACTAGTGACTGCCAACAAAGGACTAGCATTAAGGAAACATGTATTGTCCATATAGCGATATACATTATATTTAAATATTTTTAAATATAAACTGAAAACTGAAAACGGAATGATTACCAAGTAGGTCCTTGGTAACTATTTTTTATTTTTTATAGTTATTATTCTTGTCTTATAACTCTTTGTTTAATAATTTCTCTGTAATTATTAGGTTTTTTTTTTTTTTTTTCTTTCTTGATGAATACATGTATTGTTTTATTTTATTTTACTTTATCTATTAGTTTGTTTGCCAATTAATCCTTGGAACAAATTTGTTGCTTCTACATGTCAATGATTAATGGTAAAAAAACAGACATCTTTCTCGAAATCTCCATTGAGACTTAAGTTCCTCTCTCAAATTACTTGGCAATCAAAATTATAATTATAATTTTTAATTAATTTATTTATGATAATTTTTCTCTCATTATTATTATTATTATTATTATTTCTTGATTAATATATATTATTTCTTGTTCTTTATCTATTAGTTTCTTTGCCAAGAAATCCTGAGAACAAAATTCATTGCTTGTGGGTGTCAGTGCTTGAAGTTAAAAAATCAAACATCTTTCTCACAATCTCTGTTGACTCTTAACTCTCAGATTTTTTGGCAATCCAAATTATAATCTTAATTTTCTATTTATTTATTTTTGATAATTTCTCTCATTATTTGGTTTTTTTCTTGATGAATGTATATTATATTTTTCTTGATTTTACTTTGTGTGTTAGTTTGTTTGTCATGAAATACTAGGAACAAAATTCATTGCTTTTACATCTCAATGCATGATGTTAAAAAAATGGATATCTTTCTCGCAGTGTCCATTGGGACTAGGTTCTTCTAAGATTTCTTGGCAATTAAATTTATAATCTTAACTCTCAATTTCTCAGCTTCCTTAATTAGTACGTTTTTATGAGCTATGGTTTTTTGATTTGGTTACTTGGTAATTATTTATATTATGTTTTGTTTTCATAGTTCTTACTCTCGTCTCATAATTCGTTCTTTAATATTTTCTTTATTTTTCATGATTTTTCTCTAAATATTTGGTTTTCTTCGTGAAGAATATATATTATTTTTTGCTTTATTTTACTTAGTCTTTTAATTTGTTTGCCAAGAAATCGCGGGAACATAATTGATTTATTTTGGCTCTCAATGCTTAATGTTAAGAAAACAGTCATCTTTCTCGCAATCTGCATCGAGACTTAAGTTCCTCTCTAGATTTGTTGGCAAAGAAAATTATAATCTTAGTGTCTAATCTCTTTAAATTTAATAATTTTTCTCTTTTTTTGGTTTCCTTGTATATGTATTATTTCTTGCTTGATTTTACTTTATCTGTTAGTTTGTTTGCCAAGAAATCCTAAGAATAAAATTCATTCCTTTAGGTCCCGATGCTTGATGGTAAAAAAACGGACGCCTTTCTCACAATCTTCATCGAGAC